CCCGCCGAGCTTCCGGTCTCCGGCGCCCAACCAGGGAGGCGCGGCCGAAGGCACTTCCGGGGCGGGGCGCCTTCCGCCTTCCGGAAGTGCTCGTTCGCCATGGGCGGGGACGGTCAGCTGTGCCCAGGCGGAGTTTAACAACTGCGAGAAATCTTGGAGCTCTGGTCTGGCTCTGCAGACCCAGCGAAAGTAGCCTTCTCCACCCGTACGAGACCTTTACGGTCCTGCATTTTTTTCACTGCTGACTTTATAAGCCATATTTCATTTTGATATGGGAGAAACGATGCTAGATATCAGATGTGCCAATTGTATCCGCCGAACTGAAGAATGAATTCCCAAGGACAATGGAGGTTTAGAATAGGAAAGATTTATTGAAAGAGAGCTCCTGCGGGACAGGAGTGGTCCTGAAAGTGGACGGCCACCAAGGCCCTTTGTCAGGGGTAATCTATACAGAAAATGTGTGTACAAGTAGGTCAAATACATCAGCCAATAAGGTTACAAGTACAGACTCTTAGCTAATACTGATCCAATAGGGATAGGGGCACCTAGCAAGGGTTTATGTCTGACATCATTAACCTTGGCTTATCTTTGACTTCTAAAACGGGAACATTCTGGGGACCGGATGGCTCCCGGTGTTCTGGTCACCCACCCAGGTGAGTGACACAGCTGGATGTCACGGGATGGGTGGTACTAATTACAGTATACAGTAACTCCCCGACTTACAAACATTTGGGTTCTGAACTTTCACAGACACGAAAAGAACTTGCATTACTACATTCGTACATTAAAACTTGCAGAAGTAGCTCACCTTACCATTTTGAGTTATCTGTACAAGTAAACATAGTTTATTTACAGTTGTTCTGTACTGTACTGTAACAGCAAACTCACAGTCTACAGTGTGGCAGCTCTTAGTGGTAAAACGAGATTGGGCTAAGACGAATGGAGAACGCACCCTGAAACTGGAAGCAGGTTTATGATGCTGGCAGACTGACGGGATTTCTCCACAAAACGATGCGCCCAGAGCTGGTAGTGAACAGGGTTCATGTGGGCTAAGGGAAGCGGGGAGGGGATACAGAAGCAAGGCATTTATTATCAGTTTAAGGCATTCAGGAAGTTATATTTAGTTTACAAGATTTTATAGAAAAGGGCACTGTATACAGGCACTTCCCGAGAACAAAGGACAATGAAGAAAGACGTGCTGGCCGTGGGAGGGGTATGAGATGGGGTAGCTCTGTCAGTTAGGTCAGCCAGCTGCAGGAAGAACCTTTTTTGCTCAGAAATTGTTTTCCAGCTCAGTACCACCATTGTAAGGTAATTGTAAAAGTAAATATGATTTATTAACAATATTTGTGTTTTTTTATGCTTTACATTTTATATTTTTGTTAAAGATGTATAAAACTCACTTTGCGAATTTATGAATGGATCTGACTTAGGAATATTTTCTTGGAATGAAACTCATTCATAAGTCAGGGATGTAATATAGTCTCAAGTTTTGCTTATCCCTTAAGGAAGTATGTAAGTCTGGCCATTGTGACTTTATCTTAAGGTACCCTTCAGATGCACCTCCAGCCACAATTCTGATGTTTTAATTTTCACTGACTTCCTTGAGAGCCCAGTCCCTCTCTGACTGTATATTAATTTCTACC